CTTTTGTCCAGTTCTGGGATCCCAGCACTGGAAGGACATGGAGCACAAGGTGATCAGAGGGATGGAGCAGCTCTGGTGTGAGGAAAGGCTGAGAAAATTGGAATTGTCCAGCCTGGGGAAGAGAAGGCTCCAGGGAAATCTTAGAGCCCCTTCCAGTGCCTGAAGGGGATGCAGGAGAGCTAGAGAGGGACTTGGAACAGGGGTGGAGTGACAGGACAAGAGGGAATGGCTTTAAATTGACAGAGGTCAGGGTTAGATGGGATATTGGGAAGAAATTCTTTCCTGTGAATGTGCTGAGGCCCTGGAACAGGTTGCCCAGAGAAGCTGTGGCTACCCCATCCCTGGAAGTGTCCAGTGCCAGTTTGGACAGAGCTTGGAGCACCCTGGGATAGTGGAAGGTGTCCCTGCCCAGGGCAGGGGCTGGAATGAGATGGCTTTTAGTGTCCCATTCAACCTAAACCATTCTGTGATTTTGTGATGATTCCCTGAAGACCCAGGGTGGGGGCCCACCACCATCACCTTTCCATAGCCACCACAAGTCCAGCACAGGTGACTCTGCAGTCTGCCAGGACCAGCTCCAGCAGGAGAATGTGTGGATTATCTCAATGCACTTTGCCTCTGTCTTTGTCAGAGATTTGGGGGTTGTGTGGGCACTGCAACCTAAAAACTTTTTGTCCCAAATCCTCTCCCTCCACCTTAAAAATCTGCAGCTAAAATGAAAGGCAGGGCTGAATGAAGGAGACCCCCAGTGCCACCAGGATGATGAACACCTCGAGTCTGCAGCTGGTTTTACCCCAGCTCTGAGTGTGGGTGCTCCTTCCTTTCCCACTGTTTTTTTTCCCTTCACAACCTGGCACCAGGCAGGGACTGATAAACATTTCCCTCCTTCCCAGAAGCTCCTGGGCTGTGTCAGGCCAGAGTGATGGCTCTGTCCCTGGCTCCTGGTGCTTTCAGCCCCTGTCTGGGGCCAGTCCTGGCTGTCTCAGAGGCACTGAGCCAGCTCCAGTGCCTTTTCCAGCCAGATTACACATCCCTCTCTCCAGGATTTCTCTTTCTTTTCTGTGCATAGCTCAGTTTTCCCTCCTGTCTCAAGGATTGTTAAGACCCCACAGTGAAGCTGGAGGGAAGTGCCAGGGTTGGAGCATGAGCCCAGTGCCTGTTTCTCTGTGCTGCTCAACTGGCCAAGACCCCATAAAAACTTTTTTCCATATGGAGGGAAAGAAAAGGGGAGCTGTTCCCAGGAGCCTGATACCAATTCCCAGGGTGCCCTGTGCCAAGAGGAGATTTTCTTTTGTCTCCCAGCATCCTTCCCAGAGCTCTGCCAGGCTGATTAACCTGCTCAGAGATCCCAGTGGGCACCGAGTCCTCCTGCAGCCGCCCCTGAGCCAGCACTTCCCTCGCAGCCTCACCAGACCTGATCCTTTCCTGAGAAATGCAGCACTAAAAGCAAGTCTCCCTTCTTAATTTCCTCGTTTTCCAGAGCTCTTTTTCATCTTCTAACTGTGAATAAACACCTTTGGGGTCACTGTGCTCACCACAGTCACAGGTAGACTGATAAGGAGGATGGAAATCACCATGTGGGGTCAGACCCAAGGGCAGTTTCTGCCTCCCCTCCATGGCAGAGTGAAAAGGAGCTTGGAAAGATAAAAGGGCCAGGCTGTGGTGGTGCATCTTCAAAAAGATCCCCAAAACTGCAGGAATTTGTCCTCAGAGACCCCTTGATGCAGAGTGGTGTCACTTCACTGGATGGCACCGAATGGATGCTGGTTTTGTGAGTGTTTCCGTGTAATTTTCATGAGTTTGGAAGTCTTCAGGATGGACAGAGAGCTGTGGAAAGGTGGCCTGGAGGTTGGCTGGACACCGTGGGCAGGCCCAGCTCCCAGGGTTCACTCCTTGGTTGCTCTGGAGTTCCTTTGTTGGAAGGGATTATCCCAATCCCCACCATCAGTGGTCCATTCCTATCATCTCAAGCCTCTCAGAGCTTCACAGACCTCTTTTACATCCAACCATAATCTCTTTTAGGGCCTGAAAGTGGGAATTTGCAATCTTTCCTCCCACAGGACATTCTCTATAACTTTATCCATGGCTGGAAACTGGCCACATTTATCATTTTCCCTTTATCCTTCTCTCAGGAAGCCCACGGAGTGCCCAGAATCTTCAAGATGCAGGTGCGCAATGGAGCTGTACACTGCCAGAATAATACTTCCTGTTTCATTTTCTCTTCCTTTCTTATTTTTTTCTCTTCTCAACAACTCACAACATGTAATATCTGAATATTCTGAATAATTATTGTCACCCTTAGGTGGTGATCAGCAGGGCTGATCAGAGGCCGCTGCTGTAGATGTGAACTCATCATTTTTGCATTTTGTCAGGTTTTGGGTTTTTTTCTTTTCTTTCAATTTCTGTTCCCTCCCTGGCCTTGCATCTCCTCTTGCTCACTGGCCCATGACAGGGAGGGCTCTGAGGTTTGCTGATCACGTTCAGGGTGCATGATCAGATCTGGGAGCATCCTCCCAGCATGAAGGAGAGGCTGAAGGTCAGGTGTGTGGCAGATGGAGAGGGACTGCTAAAACAGGGATTGGCTGCAAACAGAACCTGATGCTGAAGGTGGCCATAAATAATGCCATCAAAAAAGGCCTCTTGTTTGAGGGGAAAAACAGAATTATTTATGAACTTCACGCAAAAGATCACTTGTGCTGCTCTCTAATACAGCTGTGGACATCAGCAGCTTTGAAAACTTGTGGCATCACAGCAGTGGTGGAAGAAAAAAAATGTTTTCCATTGAAAAAAGTATGTCTTGAACAAGGTTGTTTTTCTTCACCTTTTGGGAAACTTAATGTCATTCCAGTTTTTTCTCCGTTTGTGCTTTTTTCTCTGTGTTCCTTCCAGCTGTATCTTTCCAGACAGACTGATGGTCTCCAAAAAACACTGTAGGTGGAAATTTCCTCTCAGGAAACTTCCAGCTTGTCTCATCAAGACACACCCAAGAGTTAAATAGGTTCTAGTTTTAGTTGCAGTGATTCTAAAGTAAGTTCCAAAAAGGATAATGGAATAAATCACGAATTTTATCACTTTTTCTGTTGTATTAGTATTAATCACTGTCGTGTTATGCCATGGAATAAAGTAAGAATAACTCCAGCAGCATAAGGAAAGCTCTGTATTGTAGACTTCAATTAAAACCTCAGCTGCAGATTTCAAGAAATTGAGAATTGAGTGGTTTACATTCTTTTGAGCAGTACTTTTACACAACCTGATTAAAAAAAAAAAATTCTCTTTAAAATTACTTGAAAACTTATTTTCCTCCCTTTGAATGAAAATAATTTCAGAATGCCTTCACTTCACTTGGAGATGTTTACCTGGATTGTGCATTCCCCACCTTCTAACCACCAAAAAGTCTCACCCAGAGCCTTCCTCCTGGGAGTAGTGAGGTGCAGGACCAACTTCAAGCACATTTTATTTTTACATTAAAGTTAGGACGAGCAGAACTCCTGCCTTGGGTGACCCAATGATAGCTGCCCCTGCAGGGATAATTCCACAGCAGCTTTCCTGTCAGCACTGCAGTGTGGAGCTGGGACAAACAGCCTGACAAAAACATCTTGGGGAAGGACAAACTGAGGAACTGAGGCTGCTGGATGCGCCTGCAGCAGATGGGGATGGAAGTTTCCTACGGAGCTACAAGGCTCTCAGCTGCATCCTGGAGTGAACCCACAGCCTTCTGTGGCTTCATCTCCCCTCAGTCAATACATATTGGTGACAGCCTTGAGCTGTGACCCGTCCTGGTGGCGTGTCCCCTGCACATCTGGCTCCTCACCTTCTCTCCAGGCTTTTCCCTCCTTGTTGTCATCCTCCACGAGCCACTTTCCTCCCACCCTTCCCACTTCTCCTTTGGCAGATGGCTCAAAAGGGCTCTGTCATGTCCACGGAAGCCTTTTCTTGCCCAGTGTTGGAGTGTTTGTGGAGATAATGAACTGTGGGAAGCATCACTGGTGTTTGGAGGGGAGAAGTTGAGTGGAACAACTCATTTAAAACCTTTCCTTTCTCTATGCACTGAGGAGCACACCCATTTTCCAGCCCCTCAGCCCTCCCCAGAGCATGTCAGCAAAAACATGGAAAGATTTTCTGGGTCAGTATCCGTGGTGGGGTGCTGGGGGGAGACTGGGTAATTAAAGCCTTCAGGGCTTGATGTGGAGTTGGTGGAAATGTTTTCAGCCTCCGAGCTGAGCTCCAGCTCCTCAAGCAGCACAGATTTGTTTCCCTGGTGGAGCAGGGAGCAGGTTTTGCTGCAATTAAAGAGTCTGCAAACAGCTGTGCATCAAATGCAATGGGTGTTCAGGAAGACCTCATTGTAATCTAGAATTCCTATGTGGGTTGGCTGGAAGGGACCTTAAAGATCTTATGGTTCTTGATAGTTTCTTATAGTTCTTTAAGATCTTAATAGTTCTTTAAGATCTTATAGGATCTTATAAATCCTGTACTTCATGTAGTTCCACCTATAGTTCCAGAATCCCAAGGCCCTGTCCAAGCTGGCCTTGGATACTTCCAAGGATGGGGCAGCCACAGCTTCTCTGGGAATTCCATTCCAGGGCCTCTCCACCCTGAATTTCTTCCCAATATTCCATCTAAATCTTCCCTCCTTCATCTTAAAGCCATCACCCCTTGTCCTGTCACTACATCTGTGGAAGTAGAAAAAGAGCTGATACTCTAAAAACCACACTCAGTTTTTCAGTAGCAAAAACCTCAGCTGAAGGCTGAAATATCCAGTCATTAAGTGATGGAGGTGGCAGTGGAAGGAAAAACAATATTTTCTTCTTGAAAATAGACAGTTTGTAAGCTGAGTGTCATTTTCATTGATACCCCACTTTATTTTGGATGAGAAGCTGCACGGAAAAAATGATTTGTTGATACAAGAGGAGGTAAAATCATGGTCTTTCTTGCATTTAGCACTAACTTTTCTTTCTTTCTTTCTCTCTCTCCTTTCTCACACTTCCCTCCTCCTGCAGCAAGAAAAACAGCAGACACCAAACAAGAGACCCTGGGAAGGCATCAGGAAAGTCCAGTCCCCGCCATCATGGGTTAAAAAGGACATCGAACCTGTGGCACAGTCTCCCCTAGAACTAAAAACTGTAGAGTGGGAGAAAACAGGGGCCACCATCCCCTTGGTGGGACAAGACATTATTGACCTTCAGACAGAGGTCTGAGCAGAAAGGGAAGAAAAAGGACTTTTTTTTTTTCCGGAAAACAAACGAAACAAACAAAACAAAACCACGTTTTAAAGAAATTATTAAATTAAATCGGAACCGAGCGAGAGAAGTGTTTGGTTTCTTTTGAAACCTTTGGTAAGATGGAGTAACTTTTGTATTGTTCTCAGCAGAGAGGGGGAATATTACTTTATAGAGTATAGTAGCTGTAGGTTCAGGACAACACGAGCTTTCCCAGGCAGGACTGGAGGAGTGAGCCTGGAAGAGAGCGAGGAGGAGGAGGAGGAGGAGGGACTCCTGGAGGAGGGTGGGGAGGGACTGCAGGGGACAAGCCCTGCCAAGATGGTCTCTGGTCTCTGCAGCACACCAGGAGCCCTCCTGCTCTGCCACGAGGAGGTGTGGAAGGATGCCCAGCAGCCACCACAGAGGGCCCAGAAGATCAGGGTTGTTTGGGGACACTGAGAGGAGACACCTGCGGGAGCCTCACTGGGATGTGGCCTGGCTGGGACAGAACCAGCCTGGAGGGACATACCTTGCTCCCCCACCTCTCCCTCACCAGCTCATCCAAGAAGGAAGGAGATGGGACACGCCAAGAAGTGGCCACAAGGACATTGCCACTCCTGGGTGCCACACTACGACCTGGCATTGGCGCACGGTCACAGCGGGTCCCCGCGGAGGGGACGTGGTGGCGTCACCCGCGGCTGGGGTGGAAAGGAGAGGTGGGGCTTCCTCCTCTCATCCCTCCCCGGAGGAGGAAAGGACCAGCTCCAAATCTCCAAATCCTGCTCGCCCCATCTCCAGGGAGAGGGTGGAAGGTGGTAGACAACAAGACCAACAAGAAGAATGTAGGTCATGTCATTGACTGTTAAATAGATAAACTCAGCACGGGCCTTGCAAAGGTCCTCTCAGCCTCATCCTTTTTTTTTTGTTTTTCCTTTTTTTTTCTGTTCTGTTATTTGTCCTTGCTTTCGGACTCAAATTTATTCCAAGCCCCTCCCTGGAAGGCAGAGAGAGAAAAAGGGAAAGACAGATCTGCCGCTGTACCTGGAGATATTGGTAAACAGAGACGTTGCCTTAGGACATTGAGACAAACTGACAACATGAATAACGTCCACTTGGAAACAAACAGACAAAAAAAAATACAAACAAAATAATCTATTTTTTTCCTTCTTCTTTTCTTTTCTTCAATAAAAAGAGAACTTGAAACCCGAGACCTTTCTTTTCTTTGGCTCCTGTCATTTCGAATGCCTTTCTGTGCTGTAGGACTGCTCAGGCATGGGGTGAGGATGCCACCTGCTGAAGGTGGAAGGCAAGTTGCTCCATGGAAATTTTGGGATGGTGGGAATACACAGCCCCTTCACCGCTGGCTTGCAATGCTTTGTTTTGCTTTATTTGGTTTGGGTTTTGGTTATTTTCCCCTCATGGGCTCTTCTCCGCCCTCCCTGCTGCCCAGAGCCAGCAGCAGGTTTGTGGTCCTACAGGAAGGAAGAGGTGGAGCTGATCAGGAGAGCAGGACATTCCCTCATAAAATGCAGTCTTTTCATTTCGCTATGAAAAAAAAACCAAACAAAAAAAAGATTTAAATTTTTTCATTTAACATTTCTCAAGGTTATTTAAAAAAAAAAAAAAAAAGAAGTGTCTACATTTCACCCCAAAAAGAGTTGTGCAATATTTTTATCATTAAAAAATGTACCAGTGGCATTACACACAGGCTTCATTTCTTTATTATTACTTTTGTCATTCCCAGCACTGTCTGTCTGATGTTTGGACCAACTCTCCCAGTTTTGGAGGTGGGTGGAGAGAAACGTCTGGCTGTGAGTGGCCAGATTGTGCCAGACAGCAGCAAAGCTTGAACAGAGTCTGAATTATTACTGTGCTTGGGTCTCCTTTTAATTAAAAAATACCATACCTCACATTTTTAGGGAAAAATGACCAATGGGTACAAGATGCCAATCAATCACTGCCCCCAGCTGTGCTTCCCCCATGGGGAGTTGCTTGATGTGACAAATCTCTGCTTTGACTTCCCTTTGGGCCTCATGGGTGATCTCCAAGGACAGAGGCATTTACCTTGCCATTAACCATAGGATACGAAGGATGGAAAGGAAAATTTAAATAAATCCAAATAGTTTAAAAAAATAGGGAAAGTGGTTGCTCATAAAACTGTGACATTATTGTTCAATATTAGCTTATTCATGAAACAGGAAAGCACAAAGGCCTCCCTCAGATGCTGGGTTGTATGATATTGTAATTATTATAATTACACATGATGAATTTTAGCATACAGGTATCTTTCTACTGTGTTTTAATTATTTCCTTTTTTTTTTTTTCTTCCTTTCCCTTCTGCCCACCTGAGCCTGCCCTCTTCACTCCAACCTTCCCCGCTCACCCATTCACTGCAGCCGCCTTTGCAGGACATTAACGGTGTTATGTAATTACAGAGATAAATGTTTGTTTAAGAACTGTTGATATTCGACTTTCTCTGCTCAGCTCCTCTGGTTAATCCTGTTTTCCCATGTCCTGCCCTCCTTCCATGCCTTCCCCTCCTTCCTCTCCATGTTCGTCAACACTTTTTTTTTTTTTCTGTACAGTTTTCAGAGCACAAAATGAATGTGTCTTATTTCTAATAAAAGAGGTGGAAACTCCAGCCCTGTCTGCTTTTTACAAGTGCCTCTGCCTGTATCCCATGTGTGCTTTGCATCTATACTGGGGGCTGGGAAACCTCTCCTGGCCCCACAACTGCCACCTGGGCTCTCCATTCTTTCCAGAGTCACGACATGGGGCTGAATTTACCCAAATTTCAGCTTTGTATCCTCTCCACACCTCTAAAAATACATGTCCCTACAAAGTACATTTGCAGGACATGAGGAATCCCCTTTTCTGTGCAGTGCAGCTTGTTTTTATTTAGATTTCTCAAACCCACAGCCTGATGCCTCTTTCCCAGTATCATAGGATGTGAAGGGCTGAGATTTAACACAGATCTGGCAGCATTTCTGCTACAGGACAGGGGTGTGGGGTTAAAGTTTCCAGCAGGGCCATGGTAATTCTGATGCCACCCTGCCCACATCCTTGCAAAGCCAATCACAGAATTCCAGAATGGTTTGGGTTGGAAGGGACTTTAAAGATCATCCTGTACCACCGCCCTGCCATGGGTAGGGACACTTTCCACTATCCCAGGGTGCTCCAAGCCCTGTCCAGCCTGGCCTTGGACACTTCCAGGGGATGGAGCAGCCTTCTCTGGAAAACCTGTGCCAGGGCCTCCCCACCCTCACAGGGAAGATTTTTTTCCCCAGTATTTAATCTAAATCTAAATCTACCTTGCTTCAGTTTAAAGCCATTCCCCTTGTCCAATCCCTCAGTACCATTGTAAGAAGTACCTCTCCATTTTTTTTGTTGTCCCACATCAGGTACTGGAAGACTCAACCTCACCTGGATTTCCCTGGCACCTCCTGCATGACCAGACAGACTCTGAGCAGGGGCATGGCTCAGTGCACAGGGGTCTGAGGATATCACTTCCAAAAAGTGCAAAAAAAAATTAATTGAGCAACAAATTATTCATTTCCTTGGTGCTTATCCTCGAATGGCTGAAATCGTCCAGAAAAAAAAAAATTGTGTCTTTATTTCCCTGACTCTGCTCCATCACCTGTTAGACTTTAGGATTATAGGCAGGACTACAAGAAGCCTAAATCTTGGGAAAATGGGCTCCAGGACTGCTGCTCTCCAGAGGCTGAATCCGAAGCCATCACAGCCCAGTAGGTCCTCAGATGTAAAATTTATCTTGGCCTGGCTGAAATAATGTGGATGTCCTGACAAATCTGGAATGACTGCAGACCTGTGGGGCTGCCTGGAGGCTCTTAGCCCAACTCCCCCTTCCCTGAGCCATGATCCAACATTTCTTCAACCAGCAGCACTCACTGGTGAGTCCCAGGCCTTCATCCTTCCTATGGGAGTGTTTCTCACCCTACATCTGCCATTCTGTGATCCTTCGTGGACTTGGCAGTGCTGGCTTGGACTTGGTGATTTTAAAAATCTTTTCCAACCTAAAGAATTCAATGACTGTGTTGCATTAGGGAAGGGAAATACCACCTGTCACTTCCTGAGGTGATGGGCTGGGAGAGCAGGAGAACCCAAGCCTTGAATCACTGGCCTAGAGCTGGCTCAGGAGGTCCTGCTGCTTCCCACCAAAGGAGGCTGGAAGGAGGGAGCACTTCTCCTCACTGTGGGATTAAAAATGAAAGCACTGCCAATGGTGGTGGGTGCAGGAGGTCAGTGTGGTTTTGGTTTGCACTGGTGGGGCTGCAAGGGAGGGTCACTGAGTGGTTTAGCTTGGAAAGGAACTCCTGAGATCCCCTTGAACTTTCCTGTGTCCCTATGGTCCTGCCTTGCAGCCATCCAAGGCTCTAGTCCTAAGGCAAAGACAGAACTCCTGGGGACACAGCATTGCAGCCTCCCAGTACTTGAGGGATGGTTATAAAAATGAAGGAGAAGGACTTTTTGCATGGGTAGATGGTGAAAGGACAAAGGGACTGGTTTGAAACTAAAAGAGGTGAGATTAAGATGAAATACTGGGAAGAAATTCTTCCCTGTGAGGGTGCTGAGGCCCTGGCACACCCAGAGAAGCTGTGGCTGCCCCATCCCTGCAAGTGTTCAAAGGCTGGATGGGGCTTGGAGCAACTTGGGATAGTGGATATTGTTCCATGGCATGGGGGTGGAATGAGATGATCCCAAAGATCCCTTCCAACCCAGCCTATTCACTACCTCTAAATTCACCATCATCTCACATGGATGAAGCACAGCAATGCTGTGGAGGTGGATAAATTGTACATTGCACATGCAAGAATTTGTATGTCTTGGTTGCTAAACTGGGAAAACATGGCTGTGCTGGAAAATTGTGAAGAGCTGAAAATGGAAGAAAATGCAAAGTCTGTTGCCTGGGCTGCTCTAATGGATTCACTTGGCCCCTTAACCAAACCAGCAGTAGTTTGGCCCAAAACCCAGAGCAGGCAAAGCCTGAGCCAAGAACTCCTCCAGGAAAACCACGGAGGAGCAGAGTGACACAGTGAG